AAAAAAATAAGAAAGCAAAGACAACAGTTCCACCAATTTAACACCAGTTTAATCAGATGAGTGTATTTTTTAAACCAGTACAAACGAGAAATTAGACTACTCAATTCCTCAATATATTTTGCTAACTATTTAGCCTGTCTCTGAGAAAGACCTAGTAAAAAAATGAGGATGATTCTAATCATTTTTTTCACTGAATAAAATGTTTCTTTTCTCCTCCCTCTTCTTCCTTAAACATCCCACCATCAACTTTTCAACCGTCATCTGCAAAGAAAATAAGATTATATGATAAAACAACAAATTTGTAAAAAAAAATTGTCACTGTATTAGGAATTTTCTCGATAAAAACTGTTTCAATTTAAAGTTGCAATTCTGTGCAAATTTTGTTTACAGAGATGAAGAAAAAACGCTTCGATTTGGACTGTTTGAGATTGTCAAACCGATCAATGATGACGTTGCTTTCTGAATGCAAAGCTTTTGATCCATTCCTCTATATGAAATAGAGATCAAACTCGCAGCTTTTCATGTAGCAGATGACACGCATGATATATATTCACTTAAATACTGTTGAGTACGACGAAACAGCAAACGTCTTTAGTCGGCGCAAGCGCAGGACGTTCAAAACATCACTTTCCTTGGGAATCAAACTAGTTACCCGCTAAAAATTCCTACAAAATACTCGGCTATATTTAAGCTGCAAAAAGATTTATGACTAGGTAGGTTTTATACCATCAATCCGTTTCTCTTGGAGTACAAATATGATATTAATCGAGGATGGGATCTGTATCGAGAATTCGTTTAGCTTTTGGCTCACCTTAAATTTTTAACACTGTGATCCTGTGGTTCTCTCTCTCGGCTATCGCGATCCTCCCATCAGGCATCAGGGCCAGTCCTAACGGGAACCAACACTCGTGCAGGGCGGTGCCATATTTCCCATGCTCTCTCTGCGGCTCCCCAGCCATGGAGAATACTTTCACCTTGTGATTTCTGTAATCCGAGCCATACACCTCGCCCCTCGCAGCATCAAACAGCAAGAAGCGCAAGTGAGTACCCTTTGGACCAAATAAACTCAGGTAGTCACCGGCACCACTGAAAACTTGGATTCTGTGCAGCGCTGAATCGGACACGTAGATCTTACCGGAATCGTCACAGCTGACATGATTGATGGCCTGGAATTCGCCTTCTTCACGACCAAACTTTCCAAACTTGCAGAGTGTCTTTCCTTCAGTAGCGCTCAGGATGTAGATCCTATAGCTTGAGGAATCACCAGCAATAATGTTACCATTGGAATCAATAGCAACGCTCGCGAAGTGGGGATAAACTTCTGGGTCATGGACCTCCGGAATGATTTGCACAAGCCTGTTGCCTTCGTAATCGAATATCTGAATCCTTCCGTGGCCGTTTTCGTCTTCGTCTGCGACAAGAATGTTTCCGTCTTTGGTGAGACAGAAATCTGTCATACCATTGACCTTTCCTTCGCCTCGCTTCAATAGGCATTTCAAAAATTTTCCTTTAGCGCTAAAGAGCTGGATACGTTGGATGGTCACTACGCCTCCCATTCCGATCGTGTGCTCTTCCAACACAAGGAACTGCCCCTCTTTATCAATGGCTACTTTCTCTGGGTAGCACATCTGACCATCAGCCATGCCATAATCACCGAAGCACCAAATCGCTGGGGGCTCGTAATCGGGTTTCTCGCTCGGCAGGGCCTCGGCGGAGATATCAAATACGGGCCAATCCCCAAGTTCTTGCCCAATACTTCTTACGTACTCCTTCGCTGCATCGTCAATGACTTTGACCTGGGCCAAAATTGTAGGGTTGTTTTTCTCTTCAATGGCTGAATTAACCCCGGCGATACCTCGCAGCTTATTCAGCAAATGGCGAAAGAAATTCGCGACCATCTCGCTCTCATCGAGGTAGATGAACGAAGCCTCGAGCAAAGCGATCTTGCATCCTATCACTCTGTCTTCCGTCGCGTTGTTACTGTCTTCTAAGACAAATTTTCCCGTCTGCTGGTTCAGCCAAAATTTGACTTTGCTGAAAATTTCTTCGCCTGGATTCACGTGTTTTATGGTGATCAACCTGTCGCGGATATTCAGCGCTGCGGAGCCGAGAAAACTCCGGAAAGAGTTTTCCTCAATTTTGCATACCTCGCGTAGGATCTGCTCCTTCAGCCATCTGTACGTGGAATCATTATCCTGCACGATTTCTTCGACTTTCTCCCACTGGTCACTCACAAACAAGTGAAAGGCGAGCTTAAACCAATTCTTCAGCGATCTTTCGGGCATTTTGTATCATTTAAAAATGATGAAAAATGAAAACTGCTTTAGTTAATGTAGACACGTCTGACGAATAAAACGTTTCGGTTTTTCAGTGGTGTAATTGATTGTTGTATTGAATATTTAATTGTACGTAATATGCTAATCACGAACAGCTGGTTATATCAAATAAACAACTGAGCAACCAGTTAATATTAAATCTGAATACTGAAAACGACTCTCAAACAGGTTCATTAGTTACTTTAACAAGGCTATCTTCGAAGATCATACCATTTTTTTTGCAATCGGAAAATTTACTTCAATCACGTCCTGAGAAAGCGTGACAGTCTCTTTGATCGACTAACCATGTTGTCATGCAATATGAAGAAAAAGCCTTTTTAAAGCACGAAAATGAAAATCAATTTCTTTATTAATTGTGGTATAGAAAATGGATTAATATCAGTATCTGGGCAACTGCCCACCTACCCCTACCCTAACCCAACAACAGTCAACTGATAACAAGCTAGGGTGAATGTTGGGTTAAGGGAGGGGTAGGTGGGCCGTTACCCAGACACTGATACTGATCCTAGAAAATCTCTTTATCACCTGTAGAGGAAAATATGGATGTTTGGATTTAAGTTGGTCTTTTGATAATTATTCTGAGAGAAAGACTTAATGCGTGTCTGGGCGAGCTTCCTCGAATCATGTTATCTTTTGCTTGTTCCTGAGGCTCCACGCTTTATCGAAGTCTCCTTCGCAGCCGTTTCTATGTATGTCACGTAACTTTCCCTTTAAAGAGGCGTTGCGTTTTCACATCGTTAACTTCTTAAAGTCCTCTTAATGTTGTCAATCCTTCAGTCAAGTCCATTGTCAGTACGAATCTCGAGAGGATTTCGGTGCATTCTTTAGCGACACGTACTTCCCAGCAAATTCTGAGAAATAAGATATAACTTAAAGGATTTATATGATAAAAAATCATAATAATGATTATTTTACGATCCTGAAACAGTGAAAAGGTTGAAAAGTAAACTTAAGGAACGGTACGTTGTTATTCATTGCCTGGGGGGGGGGGAAGAGAGAGGAGGATTTGGTTCGTATCAAACTAAAATTAACCCTATCCCCCCTAAGGCTCCGTAGCAATGAAAATTGGCCTGGTCTCCCTATATGCTCTATTAGCGACGACTGATCCCCACTCTGTTCCCCCTGAAAACCAAAAAAACCTTCCGACCCCTCCCCCCCGTATCACGTAACAAATAATGACCACTCCCTCACCTGTGAATCCTTGTTTTGCTCGGGTATAACGTAAAATGTGTGACCTTCTCTGGCTTTTAACAGACCAATATCACTTTTTAACAACTGACAGTTTTCTAACGACGGATCACTGGTCTGATGATAATTGTATGCTTTGCAATAGTTATACCGTATGCAGTGGTCCCAGCAATGGAGTTCAGAGACAACCCTGAACTCCAGAAGAACGTCACCTTCCAAAAACTGGTTCATAAGTGGTCTTCTTTCTACTAATGAAACTTTGCTGCAGCCTCCTGAAGAAAGGAAGAAATATTAAAGGAGCGAAGGTATTTTTTTCAAAATGATTTGGTGATTGGTTAGGCATATGCTCTATTTCGTATATTTGCCCTTTTAAATCGCACGCGAAATTCCAAATTCAGCATTTTTTAATTTAGTTCGATTGCTTCTTGCCTGTTTAAATGCAAAGTTTCCAAAGTCATATGGGATAAGGGCACTTCCTATATTTAATTTTGCCCAGTTCCTAAATTCTCCCTTTCGTTTCCCATGTACGGGCTGAACCGCTGACCCCGGGCGGGTTCATTCCTACAACAAAGTGTGGAAGAGGGTAGACCACAGTGACTAGACTACTATCATTGCAATTTAAAATCATATCCTACTTGTTGTCAGTCCTTTAGAACCGATTGTCCAGAGTTCAATACTGACATAGAATTTAAATCATCTACCACGGGTAGATGATTCGCGGGGGAATCTTTAATCAATACTCATTTTCCTTCAGTTGATGGCAGGGTAATGGCCTTTTCAACTAGCTTGTTCTATAGTTACCTTTATGGGGCTGTTTTTCTTTGGTTCTGAGGCATTTAAATTTTACTTTGTTATTTAAATGAACACAACACTCTTCGCTAAGTCGTCCGCATCCCTCTTCTGTCACATGGTCACCGGGCTCGAAACAGGAATCGCCTTTCAGGACTGCAGAGTACGAACAGCCTGCAACAAGATATTTGTGAAAAACCTTGAGTAAGGAAACTCAACCAGCTATATCGCGGTAAAATCCGTGAAGCCATGTTGCTTCTTCTTACGAACCACATCGGTTTCTCTCTGCAGGCGAAAATTGGTGCGAAATCTAGGAAGTGGTTATCTTGGGCAGAAAACGATTACGGATCAAATGAGCGAGATAACTACAATTTCCCGTCAGAAAAAGATATCAATGCCTAATGCTGATATTTCCGACAAAGTCTAAATTCCCTCATAAATTCGTTATTTCATAAGTTACTTCGGCATTGTGTTCAGGCCGCGATAAATCTGGACAAAGATGAGTAGCTTACCAATGGCCGTGACTTGTTTCAGAGTCAGAAGAAGGCAGACGAGGATGATTTGCGTTTTCAAGTAGTGGCAGTCAAGCAGAAGACTACAATCTAGCTCGCGGGCATAAATATGTTTTAGGTTCGACTCTGAAAATAGTCATAAATTTGTAATTAATTTTTGTGGCCGCTGTATTACTTTTCGAGTCTCCAGTTAAAGTGTTCGCAAGCGTTTTTCTCAAGATTGCAAACAAAACGAATTCAGTTCTAACAGACAAAGAAGTTAAGCTATTTATTATACAAGTCTATCAGATTTTAAGATCAGTCAAGGAAGAAACTCATGAAGACCTTTTCATCTAAGCTTTCAAGCCTGTTTCTCCGAGATTCCGGTGGCACATGACTGTATTTATTAATCTTAGTCAGGTTTTTACATTAAATCGTTAAGGCTTCCATTATCTTGCGTTATTTTGGGGGTTATGCATGTTATGGCATAATTCCAAGAAGATAAATTTTATTTTAAAAATTCAGTATTCAAGCTCTCTGGCCCTTTAGTAACACGGGCAAATCAGAACAAACTCACCTGAATGCATCGCAGCATAAAATTCCAGTCTGTTGAGAATTTTTCCAAACTCGTTAGTTTTGGCAAAATATGGGCTTGATATGCAGTATTTGTTGAAAGGAGATTTTTCTTTCAGTTTTGTTTAGAGAGCTGACGTTTACTCTTTCAAAAGATGATAAGCTTGTCACTATCAGTTTTTTGGTGATTGGCTGAGAGTGGTCTTCAGCAGCTGCTAATACAACGAGCCATAAAAGCGTTCACCTTTGTGTAAATATCGAGTTAAGTAATTGCTTTTATAGCGCAGAAAACTCCGAAAAAAGATCTATAGTGTAATGCACGTGTTAAAAGTTGAGAACAATTTGGCAAATAATCATTGGAAATGTCATTCCTGTTTGGAAAAGAAATTCTTCGTATTTGCTCAGAGAACATAGGTGCTCATCAAAAGAGCATATGTTGTCTCAAGGTTATTAAAATTTTTTTCCTCTAACGGTGGTCTCAGAAAATAATTGCACTAACAGAAATTTAAGGAATAGCACATCAGTAAATTTAATGTTAGCTGCCGCTCATCACTCAGCGATGACTTCTTGTAAGAACGCTTCATTTTTGCACATGTTTTTGCGCGCCCGGCGCAAAGGGCAAGGAGATGAAATAGTCGATGTAAATCCGGATAGTGATCTTTCGGCTCCACCATTAACTTCGCAAGGCATTTCGAAGGAGAGGCATATTTCTGAAAACAAGAATTTTATCTCCACCATTAACCCCTTAATGACGAGAATACTCAAACTTATCAGGCAGGAGTTGTTAGTTTGATCTAACACCAAATTCTTGTAACCAATTTATAAGGAAACGTGCAGCAGTTAGAGGAGAGAATTAACAATCAAATCGTGGGGGTCGGTAAAGGGTCAAAGAAGCCATATGACGTTTCATTTTTGCTGCCATAATCTGCGTTATCCTAGTCTCGTACCCAGACTTTCCACTACCAAGCGGTTACATTTTGGTTACAAGGTGGAATCTGGGTACGAGTACGAGATTGGCATCATCCCTTTCAGGACAGCTATGAGCAGCAAAAACAATAAATACTGTTGAGCGGCAACCATTTGAGTTATATCCTAAAAAGGTACACAGAGGAAAATTTAAACATCGACACTTTTCCAATTTGTTCTAATGAACCTTTAATCGTTATATATCATGACATTTTTCATCTGTTCCAGCGAGTGATACTCTACCCTAGCGGAGATATTTACATACTTTATTACAC